TTGCTGCATTCCTTGGGACAACATCAAAAAGCGCCAGAAATCATCGCTTAAGTCAGCTTATGCTACAAGGATGCTACAAGGATACTACAAGGAAGCTACAAGGATGCTACAAGGAGGCTTCCTTGCAAGGATGCTACAAGGATTCAGGCAGTCCGCCATTGATTTTTGCACCGCCAAGCAATCCGCAGTCACAAATTGGCAGCAAGATTTGGTGCAAGAGTCCACTTCCCATCCGGTTTCTTGATTGTGATTCCATGTGGCACATGAATATTCAATGAAACCATCAAATTTTCGGAAGTTCCAAAAATGAGCCTTCAAATGGCTTTTAAACAATGCTGCCGATCGTAAACATTACGCCGCACCTGATGAGTGAGAAGTAAATGATGGGAAATTAGATGGACCGGATGTACTGCATCTAGAAGTGGCGTCAGCTAACCACAGTCGTTGCCAGGAGCTTGTTCATTAAAGTCGCCCGGAAAGGCTGATGTTTTGTTGGTCAGTGTATAAATAGGCTGTGGACAGGTTGGATGGCGAATGTATTTGGCCAACACAAACACACACACACCGCGCCAACCACCCACACAGAGTCGCAAAGTCGCAAATAAGCGGGCAATAAAAATATTATTAATACGCCAACGATAACACGGGTTTGCACGAAGTCAAACGTCATTGGTGCTGCTAACCAGCTTATTATAACTATGCCATTCTGATATTCACTTATCGAAATTGAGCCTTTTAGCGCATTAAAGTAGCATCCTCCTCCACTGCTGTTTGCCCATTCGGCCAAATGAGCTATAATTTATTTCTCTCCGTGTGGCCCATCGCCACATCGCCGCTGTAGCCCCATCATTCTGGCTGATGGACATGGAAATGGCCTGGGAAATGGGGCGATGGCGAAGGGAAATTAGCAGCGGCGCGCACATCAGCCATCAAGAGCAGTTGGGTGTGTTTCAGCCATAAATTTATTAACTTAGTGTCACATTTATAGCCACTTGCTAACCGCCGGCACCGCAAATAGAGCCAACAAGAACGAGGACCCTCTGGACTCCGGGACTCCAGGACGAGAGCAGAGGATGCAATGGCAGACGTGGAATTTAAACAAAAAAAAAAATCCACTTGAATATTCGCTGACCGATTCGAAGTTGATGAGCAGCCCGTCAGTGGAGCATTTTTCTGGGATGGATGGTCAAGTGGTGAATTCCCGCAAGTGAAACCAATTTATTTTAGGGGTCTGCGCATAAATCTTCAAGTTCTTAAATAACATTTTGATGGGCTGGATCAGCTTTTAAAGGCCTAATTGGTAATTGTGACTGGCGGAATGTGTCACTCGGAAATTAAATTAAATTAAATACCAGGCTATCAATCATTTTGGCTTATGCCGTAACATCCATAATTTTAAATAATCAATAACAATGATTGTTATACAAGTAGCTGCATCGTTCGCCCCATAAGTTCGCTTTAAAAACTAATTAATAATCTAATTAATTATATGTATTCAATTATTCAATAGGCTTCATTTCCTCGCGGGCACTGTGTTAAAAGCAATGGATACATTTTAGGTGTGTTCTTAACAGACAACCTTTTCTCTTTAAACTTTATGTAGAATTTGTAATTTGTACTTCAGCTTTAATGTGCAAGGACTCAATCTACATATGTTGATTTAGACAACTTATGGCTAAAGAAGAACTGATATGTTAACTTGGAGATTTGATATATTATTTGATATTGGTAATAAAAGAAAAATAAATATTTTATTTTATACCCGTTACTCGTAAAAAGTAAAAAAGGTTGAAAAGAATGTAACATGCAGAAGGAAGCGTTTCCGACCATATAAAGTATATGGTATATTCTTGATCCAAAGCTGAAATTCTAAACTCCATAACTCAACTTATCTTAATCGGATTTTGAAGTGGCATACCTCTAAATGTTTGTGGTGCAATTCTCTAAACAACTGCATTTAAATTTAGAAATTTATTTTTTTTTTAATTTTTTGTCATTTTTTGTCATTTTTTGTCATTTTTTGATGTTATGATGTTAAGAAATTCAAAAAATGAAGAAATGTCTCAAGGCTGAAGTTCAAAACTCCATAACTCAAGTTATTTTAATCGGATTTTGACGTGGCATACCTCTAAATGTTTCTGGTGCAATTCTCTAAACAACTGCATTTAAATTTAGAAATTTATTTTTTTTTTAATTTTTTCTCATTTTTTGATGTTATGATGTTGAAGAAATTCAAAAAATGAAGAAATGTCTCAAGGCTGAAGTTCAAAACTCCATAACTCAAGTTATTTTAATCGGATTTTGACGTGGCATACCTCTAAATGTTTCTGGTGCAATTCTCTAAACAACTGCATTTAAATTTAGAAATTTATTTTTTTTTTTAATTTTTTGTCATTTTTTGATGTTATGATGTTGAAGAAATTCAAAAAATGAAGAAATGTCTCAAGGCTGAAGTTCAAAACTCCATAACTCAAGTTATCTTAATCGGATTTTGACGTGGCATACCTCTAAATGTTTGTGGTGCAATTCTCTAAACATCTGCATTCAAATTTAGAAATTTATTTTTTTTTTAAATTTTTGTCATTTTTTGATGTTATGATGTTGAAGAAATTCAAAAAATGAAGAAATGTCTCAAGGCTGAAGTTCAAAACTCCATAACTCAAGTTATCTTAATCGGATTTTGACGTGGCATACCTCTAAATGTTTGTGGTGCAATTCTCTAAACATCTGCATTCAAATTTAGAAATTTATTTTTTTTTTAAATTTTTGTCATTTTTTGATGTTATGATGTTGAAGAAATTCAAAAAATGAAGAAATGTCTCAAGGCTGAAGTTCAAAACTCCATAACTCAAGTTATCTTAATCGGATTTTGACGTGGCATACCTCTAAATGTTTGTGGTGCAATTCTCTAAACATCTGCATTCAAATTTAGAAATTTATTTTTTTTTAAAATTTTTGTCATTTTTTGATGTTATGATGTTGAAGAAATTCAAAAAATGAAGAAATGTCTCAAGGCTGAAGTTCAAAACTCCATAACTCAAGTTATTTTAATCGGATTTTGACGTGGCATACCTCTAAATGTTTCTGGTGCAATTCTCTAAACAACTGCATTTAAATTTAGAAATTTATTTTTTTTTTAATTTTTTGTCATTTTTTGATGTTATGATGTTAAGAAATTCAAAAAATGAAGAAATGTCTCAAGGCTGAAGTTCAAAACTCCATAACTCAAGTTATCTTAATCGGATTTTGACGTGGCATACCTCTAAATGTTTGTGGTGCAATTCTCTAAACAACTGCATTTAAATTTAGAAATTCATTTTTTTTTTAATTTTTTTGTCATTTTTTGATGTTATGATGTTAAGAAATTCAAAAAATGAAGAAATGTCTCAAGGCTGAAGTTCAAAACTCCATAACTCAAGTTATCTTAATCGGATTTTGACGTGGCATACCTCTAAATGTTTGTGGTGCAATTCTCTAAACAACTGCATTTAAATTTAGAAATTTATTTTTTTTTTAATTTTTTGTCATTTTTTGATGTTATGATGTTAAGAAATTCAAAAAATGAAGAAATGTCTCAAGGCTGAAGTTCAAAACTCCATAACTCAAGTTATCTTAATCGGATTTTGACGTGGCATACCTCTAAATGTTTGTGGTGCAATTCTCTAAACATCTGCATTCAAATTTAGAAATTTATTTTTTTTTTAATTTTTTGTCATTTTTTGATGTTATGATGTTGAAGAAATTCAAAAAAATGAAGAAATGAAGAAATGTCCCAAGTCTGAAGTTCTAGACCCCATAACTCAAGTTATCTTAATCGGATTTTGACGTGGCATACCTCTAAATGTTTGTGGAGCAATTCTCTAAACATCTGCATTCAAATTTAGAAATTTATTTTTTTTTTCATTTTTTGTCATTTTTTGATGTTATGATGTTGAAGAAATTCAAAAAAATGAAGAAATGAAGAAATGTCTCAAGGCTGAAGTTCAAAACTCCATAACTCAAGTTATCTTAATCGGATTTTGACGTGGCATACCTCTAAATGTTTGTGGTGCAATTCTCTAAACATCTGCATTCAAATTTAGAAATTTATTTTTTTTTTAATTTTTTGTCATTTTTTGATGTTATGATGTTGAAGAAATTCCAAAAAATGAAGAAATGTCCCAAGGCTGAAGTCAAGGCTGAACAAAACTCTCACGCCCACAGTTTAACAATTTTTTTATTTCTTTTTTCATATTATTAATTTTTTCCTACTTTTTACCGAATTTCCACTAGCTGAGTAACGGGTATCTGATAGTCGGGGAGCTCGACTTTAGCATTCTATCTTTTTATTATTCGACTCTCACTTTTTTCAGGCATCATCCCAAAATAACTAAGAACTATAAGCACTAAGAACTATCACTCCAAGTGATAGATTATTTATTTATAATATTTAGAAATTAAATTTCACACATGGCTGTGCTTTGTGTTGTATTCTTAAGTACTAAAGTAAAAGTTCCTTTAAAATTTCAGATAGATTTTGAGAGGCACTGCTTTTTGGCATTTCGCCCTGGTTTCACTGAACGATTTGCACCCATACCCGACCCGAGTCTAATGAAGGTAATTCCGAAATCCCGGCAAGAATGCCGGACTGGGCTCATTTGTCAAGTTGGCTTAGCCAGACTTAGCCGATTTACCAGGGTGCGGGGGCCAGGAATAGTAATCGGCATCGGAATACGGAATGCGGCAAACAGAATACGGAATCACCAGTTTCGGGGCCCTGGCACCTGTTGTGTGGTCCGCGGCCGCCTACGCTTAAGTTGGGGCTGAGTTCGATCGGATCAGGAAGCGTTATCGCCGGACACGAATGGAAACAGATGTGCCGCCGGAATCAATTTCCCACCGTGCAAGTACATGCCACTCAAATAGATACATACATGTATGTACAATGTGCTATTTTGTGGGCTGGGCGTGCGATAAACACAGTCACTGGCCGGCAGATAAGGGCACAAAGATCGACTTACATTTACGGTTGCAACTGTTGGTTGGAAGTGCTGACTTTTCGGGTCAGGTCGCCGACGGATTCATATATTTTGGGGGTGGTCACTCAAAAAAAAATGCTAACAAAAATAAAAGTAAATAAACAAACACGACGCGAACTCGGTCCGGCCTCACTTCGGTTTAGTTCGGTTCAGTTCAAACGCTACGGGGTAACGGTAATCGTTCAAAGTCTAACGGATTCGAGACGGGTATAACGGATATATGTTTGGGAATGCACCTTCACCGCTGAGCAGGCAAACCGACAGCTTCGCAGTCTCGCGACCAACTGAAGCCCGAGGAGTCCTGGCAGCGCCATTTAAGCAGCTCCCACTTTTGCTGCCCGCAGGAGTGCTGCCTTGGGGGCGGGCGGGGGTTCTGTGAGCGGAAGGGGGCCACTGGGTCGGTGGTTGGCTGGTGGCTGATGGCTGGTGGGTCGCAGTAAGCCGGCACCACTTTGTAACGGTGCCGAACAGCTGACTGGAAAAGCTCAGTAGCAGCTTTACCGCAACTTGCGCCCGCCACACCTGGCAATGCCGCGCGCAGCGAGCTTTTGCGCTCTCACCTCTGTTTACGTACGAGCGTGTGGAGCGCAGACAGCGATAGTTTGACAGCAGCCCGAAACCAGGGCTGCGGCAAAACCTCAGTGGGGGAAAAGGACTGGCACTGATAATACCCCTTCAATTTCCATACTATACAATACATTTTCAAAAAAGACTACTGGCCTTTAGGAAATTAGTATTTACAAATAACTACCGCTTTGAAAACCACTGCTGAAAACATTAACTTGAGTAAGACATTTAGAAACCAAAACTTGCCAGAGACAGTTTCTTTAAATATTTTGAAAGCGGTTGAATGCAATATAAAATATTGTTAAAACTCCACTCAAAATAAGAAGGAAAGCACACATCTTAAATAAGCCGAATAAGTAATCCCTTTGGCTTTATATAGACACTTACTCCAATGTGTCCAACTTGCTCTTCAAACGAAACACCCTGCTCAAACACTTTTAATGGGAACCACAACCAAGCCCTGAGATTGCGCAAAACCAAGAGCCACTGCCACCGATCCGTTCAAACTAAATTTATTGCAGATCAAATGAGGCCTCAGACCTGTTTCGCCGGCCACACGATACCCTCGATGAAGTCGAGAAAGGCGGAGACGCGGGTGTAGAGGCCCGGGGTCTTGGTGGCGCAACCGAAGCCCGAGGAGATTACGCCGACGATCGAGTAGGTGCCGTCCACGTCGTCGATCTCGAGGATGAGCGGGCCACCGGAGTCGCCCTGGCAGGCGTCCTTCCTCTGATTCCTGTCCGCCGCACACAGCTGCGAGGCGATCACGCCGTTCCTCAACGTCCGGTTGGCACTCGGCTGCTCCGCGAAGAATACATTGCACTTGTCCGCCGGCACCAGATCCAGAGCCGCCCGCAGCAGGATCTTTGATACGGCGCGATCTGCAACGATGCAATTGTACATGGTGCACATGGTCACTGCGGCTTGCGGATGCATTTGCATGCCACACAACTTACTGGTCACATTCATTACGCCCCAGCCGGCGACGAAATATTTGGAGTTCGCGGGCGGATCAGTGCGATCCGTGTAGAGACAGGCGGGCCGAATGGCATCGGACTCCTTGACATCCTCGGCCAGCTGCAGAATGGCGATGTCGTAGTACTTACTACTGCCGGAATAATTCGGATGGATCTGAACGTCAATCTGCCAGCGGTATGGGTAAGTTAGCCTGGGTAGCTGAGTAGCATTCGATACATGGCGACACTCACCACATTGATGTCCTGGTAGCCCGGCTCGGGACTCTCGATGTTCAGCGCACCCAAACGGACGAAGCTGGGCGTGCTGTCGTCACTATTGACGCAGTGAGCGGCTGTGAGGACGAACCGGCTGGCGATGAGCGATCCGCCGCATCGGAATGTCGCGGTTCCGAAGGAGTTGTATGCTATGGCCGCCATGTGCGGATAGACGCCCTTGTCCACCCGCTCGCCGTCCAGGATGTGGACCGTTAGGGGCTTTCCACCGGATCGGATCTTCTCGCACGCTGCCATCAGATGAGAGATATAGATGTCAGAACATTTTCATATAAAACGTTCGTAAGGAATTCGCGTCTCACCTGCCACCGCTGGGCGCTCCTTCTCGGGAAGATCGACGCGGGAAGGATTGGGATTGGCCGTCGTTGTCCTGCGGAAGACAGGGTATACCATCGATTAGTAGTGCGCCCATAGTGGTTTCCACCTGAGACAGAGACTGCATGCGGCTCCCTGGCTGAGGCCAACTGATGTCCATGCCAAAAGAATGCCAAAAGACAAACCGCGTCTCGGCTGGATGAAAGCTGCTGGGAGTTGGATCCGCGTCCAGATTATTGCTGACATCGTTCCAGGGCTCCGGTTGGGGCTCGCTGTCTCTGTCCTGGCCCCGAAATCGGTAGGGTTCAAAGGGATCGATCAATTTCGTGGGCGTGGGTATGGTTGTGGGTGTGGCCGTGGTCTGGGAATTCATGGGAACTTCTAGGGCAGGCTCTATCTGCATTCCCTGCTGCCGCAGCCGATCGTTTACCAGATGGATGAGGTTGTTATTGTTGTTCAGAGTGGGATTGAAATTCGGATTATGCAGTCTTTGGGGGCGTGATCGGGGCGTGGTCAGTGGTCGGTTTACAATTCGTGGCTCACGGTTCTCCCAGCCCCATTGCGGTTCGACGAATGATCTCTGTGTGGCTGTTATGGAATGAGGCTGCGGAGGAGCTATGCCCCAAGCTCCAACGCTCTGGATGGGCATCTTTATGGGCTCGTGAGTGGGCCTATTCATGGACTCGTGAGTGGGCATCTTCATGGACTCGTGAGTGGGTCTATTCATGGACTCGTGAGTGGGCATCTTCATGGACTCGTGAGCGGGTCTATTCATGGACTCGTGAGTGGGCATCTTCATGGACTCGTGAGCGGGTCTATTCATGGACTCGTGAGTGGGCATCTTCATGGACTCGTGGGTTTTTTGCGGCTTCACGGTGGTGCTGAGCAGCTTATTGAAGTCGAAGAAGTTCTGATTCTCGTCCAGCCGACTTTCCCGCTCCCATTTCCTTTCGGTGGTCGTGGGAGGCAGTGGCTCCGGCTCTGGTTGTGGTTCCTGCTTGGGTTCGGGTAGCCAGCTGCGCTCGGAGCTCGTGGCATGGAATCGGACCTCGTGAGCTCGACTGTGGGAGTGAGAGGTGTTAGTCTGGCGTGGGACGCCGGCAAGCGGGGCATGCAACATCGGTGGACACAAAGCGGCCACAAGCACAGGGGGACACAAACAGGACAATAAGGCACAGAGTTCTGGACAAGGACACGCTTACTCAGTGGCACAGCAGGCGACGATGGGGCAGCAGATGATCTCCTCGCGCGCCCCAAAACCACAGCTCGGCACCTGGCTGGTGGACAGGGCGCCCGACTTCAAGTATCCACTGATGTTTTCGCAGGCTGAGGAGGAGCGACAGATGCCCGGTAAGTCCGTCCTCACCTGGCAGGGATCCCCCTCTGCAACGAGAAATGCGGCAAGCTGGCGAGGATCTAGAGTACGAGCCCAAAGACATCCCACATACCATCTCCAACTGTTACGTAGGCGGAGGACGTCAGCATCAGGAGACCCAGAAGGCAGTACCTTCTCGCCGAGATCATCGTCATCTGTCCGCTGAAATTCCCAGAAACATTAGTGAGTCCCGATTTAGTTAATCCCGGCAAGCTTATCAGCCCTATCAAGGCCGAAATTGAAAAACATTTTCACGCCAGGGGAAGCCCTCGTCGCAATGGCAAGGGAATAACCAGCCAGATCTGTTTCAGCTGACTTTCTTGCTCGGCTTTCAGCTGATTAAACCGCACCACTGCCATTGACCCATTTACGATTTGTTCCACTTTTTTATCGCAAAACAAAGGCATTCTACTCGACTGGAAGCCAGACTTGATTGATTTTTCTTCGAGGGCTTGGTGTCGATGGATTGTGTGTGTTTGTCGATAGCCAGTGACGCCAGGTGATGATTCAGATGATTCACGGAAGGCCTGGCGTTGGGATTTTGCCACCGGCCAAAGACCTCCGCCAATTAGCAAGACATCGCAGCTCCGTCGCTAGCTGCTGATACCTGGCAATTATGCTGTTCCACTGACAAGTCAGTCGTCCATCATCTGGCTGGAGCTCATCCGAGGTCTTTCTTGCCCTTCACATCCAACGGATAATGGGTTGAAGCAGTGCAATGTGTCATGACATCACCTGGCATCCACCAAATGGAATTGTATCAAATGGGTATGCGATTGCCTATCAGCTTCCGGCCCTCCGCAGTAATTGCCGCTTGTAAGCACGACGAAATCAAAAGTGGAACATGCAATACTCAGACCCATTCCCACTGCCCGCTGTCCATTGTCCACTGTCCACTGTTCACTGTACCGCTGTCCGCCTTATCGAACGCACCTTTGACACGACCTTTGCTGCGGCCTCTGATAAGGGAGTACGTCTACGTATCGATGGTGTTTATTGAGTGCGTCGAGCACTGGGGCTGTGGCAATCGGTCGCCGCACAATACAATTTAATTCAATACCACATAAACAAAAAGCAAAACATAAGCCAAGCGAATTACGGAAAAAATCCAAAACAAAGTAAAAAAAAAAATACAAAACAAAAATCAGCGCAAAAAGCACACCAGCAGAGCGAATAAAGCTGGAAACCGGTGGCTATCACAAATCGCGGCGGAATGGAATCTGCTGGCTGTTCTTCCGGCTCTGACCGCTCAGCAACGCATCGCCCAAGCAACTGAAGCCGGAGCTGGAGCTGGAGCTGGATGGAGCTGGCACCGATGGGGCCCATTTAGACGGCGGCGGCGGCGACGGCCAAGAAGCGCCGGATCCGGCAGCTGATAGCGCCGATCGCTCCAGAGCCGATCCTCTCCCGCTGAGCGGCGAACCGGTTTTTCCACCACCTCCACCGCCTCGCAGAACAGCAGAAGCGCAGAACGATCCGCTCAGAAGCGCTCAGAAGGCAGGGCAGACAAAGCACAAAGGCAGCCTGTAATTAGCAAGCGGGAACCCAACAGGCGAGCGGTGTGGACTAAAGGATACCGCGTGCTGATGCTGGTTTCGGTGACCTAGAAATTTGTGAGGTAAGTTTCCATAAGTTCCCTGAAACGCCTTTAAAGTCTTATAATTATCTGCTTACTTGCATCCTTCTCTAACTGTAGTGGTGACCCAAAATTCATTGCAGCTGGTGACCCAAACAGTAGCTTTTTTAGACTTTTTTTTCACACTTTTTGACGCGGAAATCCTACTGAAACTAAACGGAGCCAGATCTTGAAGTCCGAAAAACCGCTTCAAAGGATCTCCGTAAGTCTTCGCGGAGTTTTGCAGACCAAACCGCTAAAAAGAATATTTCAGCGGGGGATCTTCTAGCTTAAAACGTATCTACTTTATTGGTAGGTTGATAGGATCGCGGATCTCATAGAGATTTTGTTGGATCGGGCAGTCCTGATCCCAAATAGAAGTCATGTACAAAAAAAAAAAAATGGTTAGTTTACACCCGATTGTCCGGCCAGACGATGCCCTCGATAAAGTCCAGATAGGAGGACACGCGCGTGTAGAGTGCCGGGGTGACGGTGGCGCATCCGAATCCCGACGAGATGACGCCCATAATGGTGTACATGCCGTCGTCCACGCTGAATTCCTGGATCAGCGGCCCACCGGAGTCGCCCTTGCAGGCGTCGGCAATGAGCTTTTGATCGATGGCGCACAGCAGCGAGTCGACCACGCCCTCCTTGAGCATCCGTATGGAGCCCGGCTGCTCCGCATAGGATTTGTTGCACTGGTCCAGCGGCACCAGATCCAGACCCGCACGCAGCAGGATCTTGGAACGGGCCCGAGCTGCGGATGGTTAACCATTAGTGGCCATGTCAGCCATGGAATCTATTGTGCTACCCACTGGTTACATTGAGGACGCCCCAACCGGCGACAAAGAACTTGGAGCTCGATGGCGGATCGGCTGCATCCGTGTGCAGACAGGCGGGCTGGATGTTATCCGTCTCGACCACGTCGCGCTCCAGTTCCAAGACGGCGATATCGTTGTACTTATGGCCCACATATTGCGGATGGATTTTTACGCTTCGCTGGGAGATGGCAATCATAATCATAATACGGGCATAATGCAGTGCAATGCACACGGTGACTTACTATGCCGATATCCTGGTGGGATTGGTCCGGATTCTCAATGTTCACAGCTCCCAAGCGGACAAAGGACGGCGTATTGGCGTCAGTGTTGACACAATGGGCGGCGGTCAGAACGAAGCGGCTGGCGATGAGCGATCCGCCGCACCGAAAATCGGTGCCAAAGGTGATGTACCCAATGGCCGCCATGTGGGGATATACGCCCGGATCCACGGGATAGCCGCCCACGATGTGTATGACCAATTGGTTGCCGCTCCGCTGCCGTTTTCGCTCGCGAATCTTCTTGCAAGCTGCGCCATGGCATGGGAAATCAATGGAATGACTGTACAGTGTTCTCATAATCCGAATACCCACCTGCCACTGCTGGACGATCTCCGGCTACAAATCCCTTGGGCACATCCACACGAACCAGGTCTTGGACCGTCCTGACCATTGGAGCTCTTGTGCTCGTGGTGGAGCTTGTGGAGACAGTTGTTAAGTTACTGGAACGACAAACAGCACATTGCTATCCCATGATGAGCCCAGTTAAAGACATTCGGGAAATACCTATTCTCGCAGCACGGCTTGGTGGGACAGCAGAAGATCTCACCCCAAGCGCCGAGCCCACAGCTGGGCACATCGTTGAGCGTCAGGACTCCCGACTTGATGTAGCCATCGATCAGGGGCTCGCAATCGGAGGAGGTCCTGCAGATTCCCGGCATGGTATCCGTCACCTGGCAGGGCCGACCCACTGAAAAAAAGGGCAAGACTCGGGACACTATGTGACTTGACCTGGCGGAAATCGGAACCCACCTGTGGCGGCTGCTTCCGCGCAGGAGCAGCTGCTGAGCACAAAAGCGCCAAGGAGCAGGCACCAATTCGTAGGCATTTTCATGCGCTGCAATAACAAATCGTTTCAGTAGACCATGAATATGCATACAGAATGAGCTTTGCCATGATTTTCCGATTATAATAAATCAACTGCCATTGACCAACTTATTGAGCATCGAAGCTGGGCATGAACTACAGTCTCTGCTGGCACTGGGAGGCATTGGAAGTGTGTGAGGAAATTGCCAAGGCTATCTTCTTGAAGTCAGTATTTCACCATCAATCGGAAAACATGATGGGTTGATTCACCTCTTTGGGCGCCTGTAATCTCTGTTTCTGTGCCTCAGTGCGAGGGGTATTTATAGCTGATTTCGGAACTGTCTGAGTCGGGGATTTGTATCTGATAAGGATGTAGCAGAATGCTGTTGATTTGGATAGAGCTGCTTGCACACTGATTTTGACCGGAGTACCCGTACTAACTCGCAGTAATTACGCTAATCAGATGTATGATTATGCGACTTGTGCTCATGGAACCAGCCTTCAAGCGAACCCACCTTCGACACGACCTTTTCCGGACTTTGATAAGGGAATACGCCGCTGATTCTATGTTTTTCAAGTGCAGCAATCACTCCACAGTATGGCAATCAGAAGCACAGCAAAAAAATACAAGGAATACAAATAGTTAGGCAAATCAAAACTGCACACGACGAACACTCAATTGTAAACTCAAAACCGGTGGCTATGGCGGAGCGAATCTGAACGATATGGCACAAACGCGACGGATCGGAACGGCCAGGCTGACCGCTCAGTAAGGCATCTCCAATGCAACTGAATCCCAATCTGGGGCCAATCCGCTGGGCTCCAGCTATACGCTAGGCGGGCACAGATAGCTCATGATCGCCACTCTCGCCAACCGGTTTTCGCATCTGAAAGATTCTTGAATCAGAGGCACAACCGATCCGAAATAATAGGAAAACCCGAGCAAGGCTTCTGTGAATAATTAAACATAAATAGACGAGGTGAGCGTTTTAAAGCGGAATTGGTTATGAGTTTCTTGTGAGGCATAGTCCCACTTGTAATGGCACAGTTCCTTTGAATTTGTGTATCCTACAGCCTGGAACAGTTTTGTTTCAAGTATTACTTTCAAGTATTACTGCGTAATGCACCGATTCAAAGTGGAGGCCTTCTATAATATAATTGCAAGTGCCTGGCTTATGTAAACAAATAGCGAGTGGAATCATTTTGTGTGCAAATACTTGCAAATTTATGCATTATCGTAACGTAAGAGTCGATAACTACTCGGATAATGATTAACTACTGAAGATAATGGGAGTTGTAATAAATATACAATTTAATTCAATTCTATCTTATTTTAATTTATTATTATGAGGTTTTAGGCACATAGATGTTAGATGGCATATTCTTAGGCATAAAAGTACAGTCAGATCTGGTCCAGTGTGACCATGCTGACTGCATTTATCGACTGACCAGTGTGACATGTGCAAGCAGTGAAATCAAGTTCACTTCTGCGGCATTCTCATCCAATTTATACCTGATTTACCTAACTACGAATACATTATTCTGCGTACTTGGTAGATTGTTCTAACTTAGCCTAGCTGACTACTTCTGCTCCCGCTCCACAAACCGCCTGAACTGTGGACTCAGCAGGCCCGTGAAGTACATCGTTTGTGCCTCGCACTCGGCCCCAGTGGGCGTGGCAACCCCAATGACGCAACGACCTCCACCCGGGCGCACCAGATGGAGTACACTGCTCACTGAAGCCGGGCAGGCGGCGCAGGTGCTGCTGTTGGAGAACCTCTGCAGTTCCCTGGCGCCGCCCATCGGCTCCACGCAAAGGTGCGAGCTGCCCAGATCCTGCACGCCGCCGTAGTTGAGCAGATCCCCGCAGGCCCAAGTGGGCCGCAGTCGCATGGGCATCTCGTAGAGCGGACAGTCAGTGTCTGGAAAGCGTTCTTGGGTTAGTAAGAGCTCCTGAAGGAGTATGGTATAGCTCACCTTCACCCTTGCCCCAACCTACGGCCACAAGGTTGCCGCTGCGCTGCAGCCTGGTCAGTTCGAACTGGGTGCAAATGGGAGCCACGCTCACATTGGCGGAGGTCTCACTGCCCAGACGCAGTGGATCCTGCAGTCGTATGACCGACAGATCTCTTTGAAACGCCACCAGACGCTGCAAAAAAGACATTCCAGTTTTGAAGGACATGGGCAAGGGCTCGGGCACTCACCACTATGTCCGCCAGATAGTCCTCGTCGGCGTCAACGTCCCGCAGATCAGCCACGCCGAAAACAGCGTGACTTGGTCGCTCGCAGCCGGCGGCACTGACCAGGAGCTGTGGGGTCAGGACCAGGCCGGCACAGTGATGCAGATGGCCGTCGAAGGCGGCATTCGGATGGGCCAGCGCGGCCAGGTGGCGGTAGTGGGGCAGTAGGCTATCCGCCCGTGCAATGGCGGCCAGCTCCAGGGGATCTTCCGCAGCTCTTTCCTCCGACTCATCTTCCTGGATACCCAGGCGCAGGCCGCTGCGGACGCGTGTCTGAATCGGCAGGTTGAGCGGACAGCAGATGATCTCCTCGTGCGTTCCCTCGCGGCACGTGGTGAAGTCCTCATCCCTGAGGCGACCCTGCGACAGGAGTGGCTCCACACTGGGGCAGGCGGATACGGCACGACACTGGCCCTCGTACAGCGGAGCCGTGCACTCGGCGCCATCGGAGGTGTCCCTGAAGGTGATGCTCTCCCTCGTTGGCCGGTGAGTGGGCCCAATGGATCGCTGCACGTACTCGTGGTCCGTCTGGAATATGCTCAGCCAGGGTTCTGGTGCTGCAGTTGTGCTAGTGGTGGTGCTGCTAGTAGTAGTAGTAGTAGTAGTAGTGGACGTTGTGCTGGTAGTGGACGTTGTGCTGGTAGTGGTGGCAGCCGACGTGAGTTCCATCCGCACCTCGCTCTGGGCATCCTCGACGGGACAGCAGATCTTCTCGCTGCGCGTGGTGAAGCCGCAGTTCATCACCGCCTTCAATGTGAGCCGTCCCGCCTGGAGATGCGTTGCCAGTGTTTCACAGTCCTCCAGCGGTTGGCAGCGACTGCGGTAGTTCGCTGTGGGACAGGGATCGCCCACTGCAAGAAGGAACCTTGATTAACATACGTAGTGAAACAATCAACTAAAATCCACTCATAATGAGTAGCAAATACAAAAATCCACTTATGCCAGAGCAAGTTGACTACACATGTACATGGACTTCACCCCAGGAAACGAGTGCAATGACTTGGCCTGGTCAGAATCAGGCGACTGCCCACTCACCCTCCAGGCTGAAGTAGCCCCGACAGAAGCCCAGGCAGAGGCCCGTGAAGATCAGGGCTGATACGTAGTCCGGTGCCCCTCGACGTAACATAGCTCGACTGGCGGATGGTAATATTGGGTGTTACTATAACTATCAACTGAACTGCCTGGAGAGACGATGACCGATCGACGGCGCGGCTGGCGATCAACTGGCAGCCGGAGCAAGAGCAATGTGAGCTGAGCAGAGGTGGTTCTCCCGCGGACTGGTTCAACGAACGGCGGGAGTGACTGCTCGCAGAGCGCGAGAGACGAGTGAGTGAGCTTGGAGCGGAGCGAGGTTGACCCAACATGATTGATTCACTCACTGGCCGCATGGATGGGAGAAACCCGCGAGGGAGTAGCAACCCCTGGGATGGAAAGATCGAAGGGAATAGGGGATGCACCTGCCGGCGATGATGCAAGCGTTACCCAAGTGCTCCAGTGACTAACCAAAGAACCACCTATGTACTGGGCATAGCCTCTCCATTCCAGCGAGCAAAACCACTGTGTCGATCATGAACATTTATTTAATGACTGCCATTGATGAAGTCCAGCACGTTTCCGTTGAGCAGACTGGTGTAGTACAGATCCGCGTTTGCGGCATTGTAGCACCTGCCGCCGGTGGGCGTGGCCACGCCGGCCACACAAGCACTTCCATCAGCCTGCACAGCATGGAGCACACTGGCGCCGGCGCGCAGGCACCGGAAACAGGATCCCGATCCCGTTGCAGCCGGCATGTGGATGGGGTAGACGCAGAAGTGGGTCTGGCTTTCGATGCCCCGCACCCCGGACCAAGCGGTAATATTGCAAGCGGCGAAGGGACGCAATGACACCTCCTGCTCAAACCACCCGCAGTTGACACCTGTAAGAGAAGGCTATGTGGTGGTATGTGAGTCAGCCGAGCAGTGGCTCTACTCACCGTTTTTCTGGGCAAAGCCCACAGCCATCAGCTTTCGGGAGCTGTCCAAATCCTGCTGGCTGCATATCTTGGCTATGGCTTCGCTACTGTAATTGCGGGTCAGCCGAAACAGCACCAGGTCGCTGTTGTAGTCAAAGCTGCCCTGGAAGTGGAGACTCCATTGGAGGTGGACTGAATGCAGCGACCATGAACTAGTGCAACCTACGTTAATGGCCAGCTCCTCCTGAAAGGGAGCCACAAGACCCAGGCGGACACGGCTTGGCATCTTGACGACGTCGTCCAATCCGGCGCAATAGGCCGAGGTCAGCGCAAGGTTCACCCTGACGACCAGAGCAGCACATCGGTACACATACGAGTCCAGGGTCTCCGGACTTAGATAGCGCAGAGACGCCATGTGGGCATACGTCCTTTGGGGATCTGTTGGGGGTTCGAGAACTGCTGCGTAGTGAGTACTTGACTTAAGTGGCTGAGTGGAGGAGGATGGACTCTGGGGCAGTGTGTGGGGGCAGCAGACGAGCTGCTCGGCCACGTTGCACTGCACCACACTCTCTTGGGTCAGCGTCTGCCGGAGAATATGACTTGCGATCATCGCGGCGCAGTGCCTCCTGCAGCTGCTCCTCGGATAGTTGGGCATTTCGGGACAGGGGTGCCCCTCTGGGTTCAAATGATGGCCATCAAGTTAGATCACTGGGATGGTGAGTGCAATACACCCACCGTTAAGCGAAAACTCCAGCTTGGCAGCCCATGTCCGCTGGCCCAGTCCAAGTGCCGTGACCAGAATCAGGAATCTCCACATTGCGCTGCAGCTTCTCCCGCAGTTCGCGCAAAACTGAGCGTCTTATCGTTGCTACTCTCGTCTTCGGAACTCCATACATACTCGCACATATGTGTGAAAACCTTTGTCTTGGTTTCGATTATGGCCCTCCCAGCATCCTCCTATCTTCGCTCCCCAAGCAGTAATCTGAAGTCCCTGGGAAACAAGGGGGCAGCAACCGAGGACACAGCTTGCTTTTTTTTCAACAGACTTTGAAAACCGGCTAACCGGTATGCAATTGATACATACTCATATCAGCACAATCTGCAGGAAACCGCTCTTCCAGGTGAGGAGAATCTCTTGCGATTGGGCGCCAGCCAGCGAGGAACACTTTATTGCTCAGTAAATGGATTTGCACAGCAGTCTCTTTGGAATCTGATTCTTTAATATACGTCTAGGACTAATAATACTCTCGGCAGGAAGGTCAGGATCAGGGGCAGGATCAGGGGCAGGGGCAGGGTCTGTAGTTCATGATCACAGTTGCGTTCCAAGCGAATCGTTTATTGTAGCTGAAAATTGTGGTCGCGGATCTCGAGGTGCAGTCCTAGTAGCCGTAGATGAACGTCTCGTAGACGAAGCTGCGCGTCAGATTGGAGGTCAGCAGAATCTCCACGTGGGTCTGGCCGATGCCACCCTTGGTCAGATAGCCGCCGGCATCGTCCGCCATCATGTCCACATACACCTCGATGCTGGTGAGCGTGACGCCGGTGCTGGCTCCGGCCGGATAGCTCATCAGCACCTCCACGTCCTTGGCACTGGTCAGGCTGTCGCCATCGAAGTGATTCACGATCATGCGGTCACCCGACGCCCGCTCTCCCGCGGTGAAGACAATGTTGCCCTTGGAGTGCTTCACCTTGTTCATCTCGTTCAGCTGTATGTCCGGATTGAGGGTGGTGTAGCGCGTTTCGTCGGTCACGGGAGTTATGTCCGTATAGTAGAGATCGCTGGCACGGGCGTTTGGCTGTCCGGACGCCGATGCCAGGATGCCCAGCACCAGGCAGAGCACCAGAGACATGCTTGGATCGCACATATAACAGATCACCAGAAAAAAATAATAATCACGGCGGTTTAGGCTCCTAGGTTCGGGCTCCTGCTCCAATGCACTATTCCACCGCTTTTCGGATTTTGCCTGGTGCTGGCGACCGCCTCCGACTTTTATACGTGCCTCCTTATCGGCGGTCACTACCTCGATAAGACGGCCCGACAACTGAACGATAAGCCCGGGGAATTGGCTGTGGCAATTTCGGCAAACGCATTTATAACCACACCGACTAATTGGCCATCTTGCTGCGATCAGTTCCTATAAATAGCCTCCACTCCAGCTTACACCGATCGCCTGTGTGGAGCGCCTGGGAATGGATTGTGGATTGGATGGGATATGATGGGCACACTTGCCGCATGATTGGATGATACTGAGTGCAAGGGGCGTTAAGTTAATGTGCTATCGTGGCTCCATCTATTATTAAGCGGTTAGATAGTAGCTGGGTTTTTTTGACAACCCAACCAGCCATAAAATCCTATGGCTCGTATACTCGCAGACTTGGCGGCCAGTGCAGCTTCTGGATGAAGGAAATGCCTCCTCCGCCGATGGCGCGTGTTTGTTTGTTTATTTGTGCCACGACTATCATAGCCTTGATATGCATAATGGCGCACAATGGCAAACAATCTAATAAACAAATAGCCCTATCTACAAAGTCAATTGACTGTCTACGCAGCATGGCCACAGCTACTATATAGTAGACCACATCGCTTCTTGGCTGACGTAGTTAATACTTTCCTTATTGCCACCAGAGGAAGTCCCCGAGTGGCTGAGCCAATGGAATCGCGTGGAATCGTGCGAGTTACGCCATTGTTCGATCTCGCTTACTTGTGATTCATTCCTTTGTGAGGAATTCCTTGATTCACTCCGGGAATTCCTTCTAAAATCCAGCCAGATACGGGGAAAGCTGAACAACGTCAGTGTAGGTATATTAGAAATCCCTATGATTTACCGCCTTGGTTTCGCTTTCCATGACGGAGTCCCAATCGGAATCCACAGCGGATTCAGGTGAGTGGCTGTCCCAGATTTATGGCAATGGCTGTCATCGGTTTCGAGTGGAAGGCGCGTGAGCAACCAGCCATTGGAAATTGATCAAGATTGCCGAATACCCTGGGGTATGTGATATATGATCTCTACTATTTCCAACTCGTCAGCGTTGCGATAGGGACATTCGGTCTTGCACAGTGAAAAACTTATATAGTGACAGGGAAAGATTAGATCTACACAAACTTCGTTAAAATGAAGATTTTTAATTAAGGGATCATGTCCGACGTTTAACAAATCTTGGCACTTAATTAATATAACAATTTATGGTCGCTCGCATATGCGGTGTATATTTGTACATTCATTTAATTGCAATGGCTTAATTATTATTGTTTTCAATTAGACCTTTGGTGCACAATGACAGCATATAAACCTTATCCCTTATGCTAGCCAATCAATTGAGTGAAATTAATTACTTAAATCTAGTTAGTAACATTTTGGTCTGCCTGAATACATATATATTTAAGATTGGAGTCACGAACGAGGCACTTCAGCAGATGCTTAGTTGACTCCGTAGTACTGAGCCTGGTAGGAGAAGTTCTTGGTGTTCTTGGCCTCCACTACGATGGAGATGAGGGTCTGGCCGATGCCTCCGGCGACCACGTAGGCGGTGCCCTCATTGCTGTCCTGGGTGCAGACCAGCTCCACGTAGGACACGGCGGCACCCTTGCCCTTCTCCGGATAGGTCAGCTGCAGGCTCACATCCTGCGCCCGTGGATACTCGTAGGTGTCGGCTGTCTGGGCCACCAGTGCGTCGCCTGAAAGTATGCCAGATTGCGGAGTCAGTGATTGGTGGTCAAACGAAGGGTATGCTTTAAGGAACTTACCGGGAATGCGGGCGCCCATGTTGTAGCGCACGGTTAGGCTTCCGGCACGGGCCTTGCCCGGCACGAGCTCCTTCTCCATTTGCTGGATCTGCAGACCCGGATGCTGGGCGGCAAACTCATGGATATCACTCACCACACGGACTCCGGTGCTGGCCACGCGTATTTTTCCAGCCGCTCCGCCGGACACAAGGCAGCCCAGCAGGGCGGACAACAGGAACAGGCTAAGCTTGGACATCCTGGACGTTGAATTCGATGGAGGAAGTGCTTGGACTATGTATCTCCAGTCACGACGCGTTGAAGTCACGGAATGATGGCCAAGGTCTGGAAACCACCATTTATACCGCCCATTGTTTTGCTTTGAATCATATTAGGTTTCCTCTTATCACAGCCATTGCCAATTTCAAGTGGCAAGTGACAATGTCTAATCCAATACCGGAAAAAGGGCCACACCGACGAGGGAACTGCTCTACTCCGCACTCCACAGTGCAACTACCAAGCTGCATAGAATTTCAGCTGAGAGTATAATCGAATTAGTGGCAAAATAATGCCGAAACCTGGGCAATATTTCACATTCTCACCTTACAGTGCATCTACCCCACGGAAGGGTAACAGCAATAATGCTGATAAGAAAACTGCTCCACTCTCCACTCAATTAAATTGAACAATTTAGGTGTTATTCCGCTCGGATCCAATCATACCCCCTCCGCCCCTCCGGCAGCTGCGGTGGTGTACCAATAGGCAGAAGATAAGACCACGGCGGCTACTTCGGGAGTACGGCCTATCCATCCGTAAACAATCTGTTTTTCTGGGCCTTGATTAGGCAAAAACTAACTCTACCCACAATCTATTGCCCCAGGATTGGCACCTGCCCACGTCTCTCTGTTGGGCTTCCCTTCCCTCGATGGGTAAAGAAGTTCCCGGAATCTTATCGCCAGTGGATTTCCCTGGAAGTCGACCATCATCCCCACTCCCAATCAACGCGGCTATCGATATTGTAGATTTCATTCGACCACAAGTTATGAATCATTTCCTTAAATTAGCGAAGCACCCGTGTAGGAAATACGTTTAGTCAAAGTAAATGAAATTTAAAGAACTTTCTACAACTTTCTAAAAGGAATCAATGTTCTGTACAATTGGGTTGCAAATTATGAGCAAATCTGAGATGGGAACTTTATTAGATATTTAAAAGTACTCTTAGGACTGCTATAGATCGACCTTTCCCACAACATTAAACACTCAACAGATTGGTTTACATGGTAAAGTGTTTAGAAAACGTTTATTTCTATGCTATTATTCAGACTTATCGATAACTCTAAAGTTACACATGAATGTAAAATATTGTTTCAAAATCAAACTCCCGCAGCACTTGCAACGATCAATTACGTTTAACGACTACCTGGTACAGAGAGCTTTACGGAAATCGAGAGTAAAATAAAAAAATAGGATCGGATTGGATTGCATTGGATTCAAATGATTATAATGGATTAGATTGGAATGTGGCAGCGTTGAAACTAAGCTAGGGTTAGTTGGACTTGCAGGAGTATAGACTAGGGTTAGTACATTCATTTGAGTTGGCAATCATAAAGCAAACAATCTGCGGCCATGTCGTCCCGTTCCAAAAATCCTCTATTGCACTCGACTCGCCAGCGGCTCGTCGCCTTCCCGCTTGCGCGCTATCTCCCTCTAATTCGCTTCCGCTCTATCCCCATCGCATTCTCTCACTCATACGCAAGGACACACGAGGTCGGCACGGAAATCCCCCGCTCCTGGATCCTAAGTATCAATTGAACATCTATTGTATGAGATTCACCAATCAGAATGGGCGGACTATCAGCTAATTTGTGACCTTCGTTCTACACTAAGTGCATTTTGTAAAGTTTGATCGCTTTAGACAAATGTTGAAAACGTGGAAGAGTTTTCAAGTACTATTACTAACACACACGATTTGGAAAACAGCATTCAGTTTATGCATTACAAATGTGGTTTAGAGAGGAATTGTTCTAGTGCTTACATGGGCATAGTTCGCAATTTAAAGGTTCTTACGAAATTGTTTTACAAAATCGAAACTCCTAAGCTTTAATAATATCCTTGTGGATTTATACGCCGAGCATTGAATGCCCTCGTGTGGATCCCAGTTAGCTGGGGGATTTCCAAGTGCCGACAGTGCATATGTACAGTGCGTTACATAAATGCAGATGTGTGTATGTTTCGTGTGTATATACGTGTATGTGTTATAAAACCAACAACAATTCCATTTCTCATTTTCACTAAATTGCTTTTGTCTAAAATATCGCCCCCGTTGCCCCGGCTGAAACCCATGTGATCCATTCCTTGATCCTCCTTCTGCTGTCCTCCCCATCATGCTGATCATCCACACTGGACTTACCAGCGCGGGCGTATCTCCTTGAACCACCACTGCTGGTAGCTATCGTTGACATCGCAGTGACCCAATGACAATTGCTGCGTGGCCGGGTGCAGGGCCATGCACTTCTTGTGGACGCGGTGCATCAGGTGCTTCGTATGCTCGTTGTACTGCCAGGGGCCGTCGACTGTTCCCAGGCGACACACAGCCAGCTTGATGCCCTGCCGATCGGCCTCCACGCAGCGCTCGCCGACGCCCAACTGGCCAGCGGCATTGAGCCTGACCAGTTGATTGTTCCCTCCGCCGTGGCAGTATGTGAGGCCCATGATGGCGGGCGGCTGGTGACCCATGGAGTCCAGGCATCCGTCGGAGGCCACCGAGCGCAGCTCGCCCCAGTGCAGGTTGGCCGGCAGTCCCGGGAACTTGTCGTACACATCGTAGGCGATGTGGTCCATAAACCACTGGAAGCTCTTGCAGTTTAGCCGCTTCTTCAGCGCCAGTTGCTCGCTAATATCGCCCATGTCCAGGTAGCGTGCCAGTGGCTCGCGCGTATAGAAGTACTCCTTGTGCGTATCGTCGAACCACGTCTCGATGACGCGCTTGTAGTTGATCGTGATCAGCGGACCCTTCTTCTTGCTGGCCAGCTTGCCGAAATTGTAGGGCATGAAGCCGCGATAGACATGGCCCACGCGGGAGCAGGGCACCCACTCGATGCTGCCGCCGCACTGCCAGATCTTGAAGCTCAGCTCGAAGTTCTCGCCGCCCCAGACCAGCAGGCCCGGATCGTAGGCACCCAGCTCCAGGAAGTACTCCCTATTGATGGCGAACAGGCCGCCGGCGTGCGTGGGACTGCGATAGGGTTCCGAGTTGTGCGCACGACGGCGCTGCTCGCGACGTGGTACCTCGTTCTCCTTGTACAGCATGCCCCATTCGAAGATGCCGCGGAAGTGGTTGTCCGTCCCATAAACCGGACGGTACTCAAAGTTCTTGTGGTCAATGCCATCGATAATGGGCACGGTCATCACAGTGCGATCCCGGTAAATGGGGGCCAGCAACGGCGGCAGCCAGTTGGTGTTTACCTCGCAATGGGCGTCCAAGAAGACGATCACCTCACCTGCGGAAACAAAGCAGTTTAGTGTTTGTGTGGATAATTATAAGGTGTAATATAAAATGTGTGCTTTGCTTTAATTTTTATGCATCTTATGCATCATCAAATGCAATACTAGACTACAATACTATTCTGCTGAGATAATCAAAATGAAATTCAGTGCGTCTGCAGATTAAATGATTCATCATTGCCGAAAAGTGGAACGTGAAGCTATCACCAATTAAAATTCCAAATAGCTGGCGTTTAGCGTTTGATGCGCACAACTTAAGATTAAAAAAAAACTATTTCTATCAAATAACACGTGCTTTGAACTATGCGATAAGCTGTCTTGAGCTATGCAATAACAGATTGCAATATGCATAGCTTAGATATGGAGTATGCGCACCTGTAGCCTCCATGGCTCCCCTGGATCTCGTCCGGATGAGACCCTCGCGCTCCTTGTTCCTGATGACTTTGACCAGCCCCTTGAACTGCAGCACATACTCGTCCAGCTGGCTGCGCAGGTTTTCCTTGTCGGAGAAATCGTCCACCAGAATGATCTCGTGCAGCATGTGGGTGGGCGAACGGTCGATGACCGAGTGCACGGTGCGCATCAGCACCGAGAAGCCCTCGTTGTGGAAGACAATGATGACACTCGTGCGCGGCAGGTCGAAGGGGTAGTCCCAATGGCGGCACTCCTCGAGCCGCGTGTCCCGCACCGATCGGTGCATCGATATCTCGTCGGAGCAGGCGATGTTCATGCCGTACTCCATCTCGGAGGCGTCCGACATGTGCTTCTTGTCGGGCGACAGGCTGTGGGCCTCTCCATTCTCGCCGGGTCCGCTACGTGGCTTCACATCTTTCGGCTCAAAGTTGCCCAGGCCTGAAACACGCAAAATGAACTATGAGTGTGGCGCGTGCAAATGCTTATGCAAGCGTACAGCAATTGTTTAAATATTGGCCTAGCCACTGTGTGCGCTTGCAGGAGGCGTGGCTCTTAATTTTAGACGTGGTCATTTAGCCCTTTGGCATGCCTTCATCTAAGCATCTAATGTCTTGTATGGAGTATTCTACCACTAGAATTGAAATGAATATCATTTGATACAAACGATTTAAGACACACTGGTCTTGGAGGCTGTGTAGTAAAGATGCTATGGGAATGGGACTTTTGTGAGGTTCTTTTCTCACTCTATCCGAAATTGATAGTTGGTTAGGGCCATTACAAAGCCGGTTTTGGAGAGTGTATAATAGAATACGATAATTATTTCAGATGGGCTTTTGAGTTAGGATCGGAATTGACTCTGCGATGTATGGAGGTTGGAAGAGCTTATCCTTTAACCTTCAACAATACTTTACTCATGCCTAACGTGGTAATAAAGCCTTCTTAGAAGAGTATATATGTTAACTGGTTCAAAAGCCGGTTTTAAGTGGTATATGGCAAAGATTACTGAATAATTTAGCTGGGTTTGGCGTAAGCAAACAAGTCGGTCTTTTCAATGGACCAGCAATCTTAACTACTCTATGTCCCTAGTCCTGATAATAGTCCTTCCTTATTAAATGATATAATAAGTGAGTCAGGAATATTAATGGTATCCCTATCCTGGTCTACCACATCATAATGACAACTGGTACCCAAGGGTATAGTGGTGCTATCCTCGGTTCTGTGCCACTTACCATCGACCAGCTTGGGCACCTCCCTGGGCCTGCCCTCCAATCGCTGGTGGGCGAACTTGTGTCCGCCGAAGCGCGTGTGATACGCCTCCTGGACGCGCTTGTGGTGATCGCTCCAGTTGGCCAGCAGATACAGGAGCGGCAGCAGCACCAGGAGGCACAATGCCAGCCGGCAGATGCGACCGCTGCGGATGGTGCTCACGCGCATCTCTCCCAGTTTCCGATTCCCAGTGCCAGATTCCGATTCCAGTTACAAAATTCCAAATCTGTTGACGTGTCTAGGTGGCCAGCAAGAAGAAGCACGGCGCAGGGCGCGGGACGCGGGGAAAGGTAGCAAGAAAGCAGAAAGAGAACAAAAGAACCACTTTCGGTTCGGATTCGAGATGCCGCCGAATGATCAAAGGCGCCCCGCCGATAATGACAAGTGCTGGGGCGAGAAGCTGACTGGAGTCCACCACCTCGTCCGGCTGAGGACTGACACACTAACTCCAACTTGCGGAGCGGAGCAACTTGCCGGCGAAAAGGCGCCGCTGGCTTTGAGCAAATTGAGCGAGTGCAGGTGCACGAATATTCGCGGTGCAAACGTAAACAAAAAATGGTAGAAAACGATGTTCAACTGGTAACAACGCGTTATGCCTTTTTCTCTATCATGCGCAGGCGTTAGGCCTAATTTAGGCACCAGCAGCGATAGGCGGCTGGGCGATAACAAGAAGTGGTGAAAATGAAAATATTTGATGTATGTGTGTTATATTAGCCGAAATGCTAACTGAACAGTATAACGAAAGGCTTGCTGCTCTAAGGTATCTACTTGATATGGCCCAGTTCCATTTACAACTAAATATGTTTCAGCACTGCGACATTCAATATTAGCTGGCTGTCATCGATAACGGCCACAATCGATAACTCCATTGTTTATTCCAGGGCGCAAATTTGTAAATTTAACTAAATGGGCTCACGTCAACTTCACTTCGCCGTATTTGGCCCGTGCGGCTTTGAGGCGGACACGCTGGTGGAGATTTCCGGTAGCGGGAACAGTGGCAAAAGCCTGGTGCTCCAACAATTGGTAGCCCACTGCTTGGCGCCCTACAAATTCGGTGGTCGCCAGTGGAGCGTCGTGCTGATCAATCTGAGTCACAAAATCAGCCGGGAATCTCTGGCCAAGAGCATTAAAATGGAGCTGAAGGCGTACTCTGTCGGAGAAGAGGTCGCTGAGAAATGCCCCACGGAGGAGCAGCTGGCCGAGATTGCCGCCGAATGCGTGAGTCGCGTGCGATTCCTCAACTGTTTCTCGAATGATGATGTTTCCACCTCCCTTATTGATGCCCGCTATGCGATCATCAATGATCCTGCCATACAACTGGTTGCCATGGACACACTCAGCGAATTCTACTGGCTGGACGAGCTTAAGATAACCAAGAGAATGTCCATGTATCGCCACTATCGACTGCTCCAGGCGCGCCTGGAGAAGCTCTGCAAAGACGCCATCGTCTGCGGAATCTACACGGTGGAGTCCGCCTTCCTGGAGAACCGCTTCGGCGATAACCTGCCCGAGGCGAGCATAAAGTACCATGTCAGGATGCAGAAGATTCAAAGCCAGATCCTCCTGAATGGACTGCCGCTGTCCTTTAGCAATGGAGTTCATTTGGATGCAAGCACAAAATGATCCTACGAACTGAAAAACTTCAAGAATTGTATATCGCTTGTCTATTTCAGTATAAAAATAGGTTTCTTTTGGATGTTATAAATGGAACTCGTTATCCAGTCTGTGTTAAACAATTTCAGGGCAAATGAAAGGTAAAGAAAGAGGATGATTAAGAGCAACTATTTGAGGTAAACGAATGGGATTTGGCCACTATGTGTTAGTTTGAAAAAAAGGTTATTACTCCCATGTTATTTAGATAGTTACAAGAGCAAATATACATTATTTCGGCCCGTGATATCTTCCTTGTTTAGCCGTTCGAACAAAGGGAATGTAGTCCATTAAAGCTAGAAGGAAAGTCTTAAGAAAAGGTCGCTTTAATGACTTATTCCATTCAGTAATATATTTAATATTATATATCAGTAATATTATCTTAATTAAAAAAAATACAACAGTTCTTTAAAATTGTGTTGAAACCTTCACTATGTTCTTTTTTGTTTTTGAAGAAGGCCAACCCTACCAGAATTATACTTAAAACTAATGATTTCTAAAAGCTATACATAAGTAAGGTGGTTTTGTTTAGCAGTGTTTTTTTTTTTTTTTGTATTTTTTTATAATTTCTTAGCATTTTAAGAAGAAGCAATATGGTTTGCAATTAAAATGGGGGGCTTTTAAATGTTATCCGCCGATTGAGTTTGGTAGTGCTTAAAAGCCGGTAAATGAGTAGAAATTATTAAATACAATCATTAATTTAAATGTAATTTCAATAAATAATTATTTGTTTAAATACGATTATTTCCTTCATGGCTTAGTCACAAACATTAAGACATTTGAATTCAATCAACGCTGTTCAACGCTCTCTAACTCTATTTACACGTGTGTTCCTCGAGTACCTTTGTACAAACTTCACATTTAACCTGGCAACACCAGTGAAATTTGCAGTTGCAGCGTTCGTTAACTATAATGTTCTTGGTATTATAGCCCCGGCCGCAGCAGAGGATGGCACAGCTCTCCAGTCCCGAGGAGTTTTTGTGGCACACACGTCCGTGTGTTCCCGGCCAATGCAGGGCATAGCTATTGCGGCACCAGTCGGGGCTTTCGTCTAGGTAAATAAGATCGTGAGCGGTTGGCACCTTGAATTGCAAGTCCTTGATTTGGAGGCGTCCACGCTTGTTGATCTTCACCTTGGTGGCGCCCTCGTACTTCTCCCGCAGATAGTCGCCAATCTCCCGGATGGAGGACAATTGCTGCCAGCAGGTGATCAGGCTGCAGGAGCCGGACACTCCGTGGCACTTGCAGGTTATCCTGGCCTTCTTGATCACCGCCCGCCGTCCGGCTTCATTGTTGTGCAAGTTCATCAGGCTCCTGGCCTTGGCAGTTGCCGTGCTGCGCGGCAGGATGCCGCCATCCTTGTAGCCCTCCTTGATGCCGTTCCTCGGATAGGCGGGCGCATCGGCAGCAGCCCTCTGGTTTTTCCGCTTCTTCTTGCGCGGCTGCTGCTCGCCCTTGAAGAACTTGGTGTTGACAATCTCCTGCTTGATCTTCTCCTGCAACTTAATCATCTCCTCCTCGTCTATCTTGGATGTTAGTATCTCCTTGGTAATACGCTGCTCTAGTTCCAATAAGTGCTGATCAAAGTTTTCATTGAGTATGTGACTGTTTTCAGCCTCAGTGCTTTTTCTAACATTTCTCACTACCAAACTTGTATCGTTTTTAGCATCTACATTTTTGTTACGTTTAATACCTATGTTGAAAGCATTCGTGTCATCGGAATGCATGCGATTTTTGTTGATCTCCTCGCGTTTTCTCTTAACGCCACGTGTCTCCCGATTCGCCTCCTTCTCCCGTGAATCGATGAAGTCCGTGGCGAACTTGTAGGCGAACTCCAGGTTGTCGCCACAGCCGCCCCACTTCCAGTCGTCGTGGAGCTGCTTGGGTCGGCTGCCACGGGAGCAGCTGCAGGAGGCCAGTTGCCCGTCCCGGCAGGCGCGAGCTATAAAGCTGGTCACCGTGGCCGCGGCCAGGGCGTGGATGAAGGCCATTTCGGGAGCGGCCAGGCTGGTCATGGGACCAAATACGGTCACGTCGTTCGTTGTACTGCAGTTCCAGCGGCGATTCTTGAACTGGAACTGGCACTCCTGGATGGCGGCTCGGGCGCCCCGACTTATGGCCGGCATCACACTGGTGTGCTTAACACATTGCTTCTTTTGGCTGTTGCTTAGACCTATTGCGCTATAGCAGTTATTGGGATTAAGATCGATTGTCTCCGAGTATGCGTCTGCAGTTGGAGCCGTGTCATTGTGATGACCGTTCGCGGAGCCAGCTGCCCCGTGCTCCTCCATGTTCTTGATAAGGAATTCCCTATCGCTGGCGACATCTGCAGACGTCATCACAACGTCGTGCTTAAAATAATCCGTGACGGATGTGTTGTTCTCCATGGACACCTTAATATAGTCTGGCATGATTTTCCTACTACTACTACTAATGCTGGGCTGCGAGCGTTCAACTCGCGAGAGCAGCTCTCCATCCGATCCCTCGGAGGATACTTTAAACGAGTCGGGAATCTCGATTGATACGGCAAATCTCTTCGTATTATTAATCGTCTGTATGATGGGCTCGAATCGGGGCTGCATGTACTGCGACTGGCCGCGGAACCACTCGTCCCGCTCCCGCTGTCGCTGCTGCTCCTCCCGACGACGCTGACGTATGCATTTCGGTGACTCGGGATTACGCAGGCAAGGTGGTCGCTTTGTTGTGCGCAGAGGTGTACCCGCCTTTGGCTGGTTTATCGATGGACTGCGATCCGCTTCGATGGACGACTCCGTGGAGAGTGTCTCGTTGAGCAGAATCACCTGGGGCTCGCTGGGATTCTTCTGGCCACGATTGCTGCTGGCGGCCTCTGGATGGGAGTCGGTATCTGTGGGTTTATGAAGGGATTGATTATTCGCTAGTTCCTCGTTCTGATAGTAGCCACCAATCGGCTGCTCTCCGGGATTGTAAGCTCCTCCTCCGCCTCCGCCTCCGCCACCATCAGGCACAGGCACCTTGGGTGTTGGTGGCGCTATGGGCGCGGAATACTGATGAATCGGCCGCTGGGGCCGCTTGGCACTGGGCGGCGAGCCCCCAGCTCCCGATGTCTTGGCCTTGTCCTTCTGCAGGCTCGGAAACTTGACGAATTTCGACTCAAAGTTCGAATTGGTCTTGGTCATGTTGTGCAAGAAGAGTATGTGCTTCTTCAAATCATCGATGTTGGACGTGGGATCCCCATCCACCTGGGCCAGCGCCGAGGGCACAATGGTCGAGATGGCTTTAGCGTTCGGTTGCAATGCGGAGGGACTCGGTGTGGTGGCCGCCCAGCGCGGATCGGGTGATATATTCTTGAGCGCCATGGGCACTATGAACTTGCGATCCTCGTCGGTGAGGCTGGCTGGCAGACCATTCTCGTCGGTATCCTCGTCGAGCAGGATTATCTGCTTCTGATCCATCTCCTCCTGTATCGGGTGAATAGGGCGAGATGTAATGTTGTTCGGTGAATCGAATACCAGTCTCTTGGTGAGATCGGCCTTAACGAAGCCAGTCTCCGAGTCCCGCAGGTCCACTGGCTTTATGAACGTACCGAGCTTGCGGAGGCCCTCTTGATGCATATTGGCCTGCTCGTCCTTGGTCATGTTCAGTGGTATGCTGGAGTTGGCCAGCTGCTCCACCTGGTTGCCAAACTCGATGAAGGGGGACTTGAGGCCGAGGTATATCCATGTCGGCACTCCTTGCAATCCAACTGTGGCATATGCCCCTCTCGCGGTTAAGTGCAACATACACATTGCACGCAAGAGCCACAATAGAAAGTGCCTTTTTCTGTAGCAATTCATTATCGCTATGAGTATGTGTATTCCTATTCCTGTTCCTGCTCCTGTTCCTCTTACTACTACTATTACAGTATTACTAGTATTGCTAGTATTGTTACTAGTACTATTATTATTATTCTTTCTCGTTCGTTTCAGTGCGATTCCATTCAATTCAATTCAGTGCGATTCGATTCAGTTCGACTCGACTTGGCTGGACTCGACTCGATTCGTTTCAATTCGATTCGATTCGGTTCAGCTGATGCGATGTGACTTTGTGATTTGATTTGATTTCATTTGATTCGATTTCATTTGATTGCGAACGAAATGAAAGAATGAAAAATGTTTTTCGATAACACTAGAAAATCGATTGGCTGTAGGTTGAGTTTCCTTGCGTCCACGAATCTGCCGTAAATATTGTGATTAGCTGCTCGCTATAGGCTGCCAGTTCATGCGCTCGCTGAGAATTTGTAAAATAACAAAATGAGAACTGGATTTGTGCATAGTATGTATGTATACAATCAACCACAACCGCATCATGCACGAACGAAACTCGCGACGAAGTAATCCACCCTCAACGACAAATTGTAAACAACTGAAGAACTCGTTCGGTTCGGCATTTAAGTCTTTCGTGGTAACAAACGCAGTCGAAAATGAAAATGTTGCCCAGCCAGCAGACCCACCACCACCACCACCATACACACACTTACACTTCACCCCGCCGCATGTTGTGCAACATGTTGCAGACGACGCGCACAGCGCCGACAAATTCCATCAACGAACTCGCATCCTTTTTCGAAAAACTTGCCTCGGAATCGCGCCTAAAGTCTCAGTCTCATTGTACGCACTTTTTCATTTTACCCCTCATTTTCTCACCTGTACCTACGGTACAATTTAGATTTGTTCGGCCCAGTAACCCCTACCAAAAAAGTCACATACCAAAAATTTAAATTAGTGTACACAATAGTTTATCAACCAGTATTTATAAATACTGATCGCCTGTTCGGCACCAACCTCGAATAACCGATACCTAGGTACACCCGAAAGGGGACAGCCTTTGGCACCACATACGGTATGAACATTGCAAATCCATTTATTTGGATACATCGGGCACTCACAGCCTGGTTATGTACATAAAAAAAGGAATTTTCGAAAACACTGACTATTCGAAATACTGATAAACATTATTCGCAGGCCTCGGCGGCACTTGCGACTTACGGACTAGGTTAAATAAATAAAATCACGATACCCCAAGGGACACGCATCCTAATGCTGCATCTTGTTGGTTTTGGCCAGAGTGAGCGAGCTGCCGATGCGACGGCGATCGTAGAAGGGCTCCGGCTGATCCAGCGCTCCAATGGCGGTCACTGCGGCGAAGCTGGAGCCGGCGGGCTCCTCGTACAGCTCATGGCCCACCTGCTTAAGATAGTCGCTGATGCTGCTGTCCACCTCGTGCTCATAGCTCACGCGCATCGGGGCCAACTGGTGGTGCAA